GTTTGCGGGGGGCGGCTGATCGATGTTTCTCTCTCATCGATGTTTCTGACTCTCTATCTCTATCCTGTCCTCTCTGTAAAAAATTAATAAAATATATTTTAAAAAAAAAGTTTTATTCTATGAGCAGTCAAAACGTACACTGGGAATGAGTGGTGCTGATGAGATAACTTTTTTAAACAGATAAACCACCCAGGATCTACATAATTAGCATAAGTAAAAAAGTAAATCAAGCCCTAACTGGTTTGGCTCAGTGAATAGAGCGTCGGCCTGCGGACTCAAGGGTCCCAGGTTCGATTCCGGTCAAGGGCATGTACCTTGGTTGCGGGCACATACCCATTAGGGAATGTGCAGGAGGCAGCTGATCGATGTTTCTCTCTCATCAATGTTTCTAACTATCCGTCTCCCTTCCTCTCTGTAAAAAATCAATAAAATATATTTTTTTAAAAAAAGTAAATCAAAAGTTGCCTACAGCTAAATAATTTTAAGTTGCTGTATTCTTTAAGAATGAACTTTTTAGTAAAATTGAAGTTTCTTAATTATTATTCAAAGATGAAACTAAAACTTGCCTTCGCAAGTAAATTCTACCTATCCAACTACAGAAAAAGTATACTGTGAGAAGAACAATACATTATTACCTTCTTAACTGCAATGATGTAATTCATTCTACTTAATGATGAGAATTACAATATTAAAGTAAAAATAAAGTCATCTCTCTAGTTTTACATTAAGTAAAAATTACTAAAATGCTTACAGTCTAGAATTAAAGATTTCAGTTTCTTTTGAAATCACTCGAATATAAGAGTGATCAAGATATCCTCAAGAACAATATTAACATCTAATGTAAATTAAACTGAAATAACTCTCCCATGGAACAGTACAGGTAAACAAAATAGAAAGGACCAATTTGAAACAAACTGAAAGAAGAAGGGATATATGAAAAAGTAAAAATTAGCTTAGTGAAATAAACAAGTTTAGTTTATTAGTATTCAACCTGATCTACTCTGACACTTCCCCTAATATCTTCTGTCTATCTCCACCTTCTGGCACATTTGAAGCTTATTTGACTGAATGATTAAACATTAAAAGATGCCAGGAATTCTCACCGATTTCTCGGGGTCTTGGGCTCCAGAAGCTGCAACTCTGAGTTCCAAATCTTTTTCTCTAAACAAAATTATAGTTTTATATATTAAAAAATTATAGTAAACACAAACAAAATCATAATAATTACTGAAACAAACATATATACAAAGTCCATGCAACAACATCTCCAAATACAAATAATTCATTTAACTGACAATAAGTCCTTAACTGACGCTGAAAACTAAATTTTTCTTATTTGGTGTAAAGTAAACTAGGCCGAAACCGGTTTGGCTCAGTGGATGGAGCGTCGATGCAGGCTCAATCTCCAGTGCAGGGAGCAGCCAATAGAATCATCACAACGATGTTTCTCTCTCTCTCTCTGTCTCTCTCTCTCTCTCTCTCAAAATCAATAAAATTATTTTTTTAAATATAAGAAGTCTCAAATTCTCTAGAACTAACATATCTAGTCCAAATTTTAAACTGTAATTAATATTTCACATGTGCTTCTACAAGAAAAATTACAAACACTGAAACTTGTACACAATATAAAAATCTGTGGATTTATCAATGATTTTTTGTTGTTTTTTGCATTTCACCTTTTATTTATTTTTCAGTGATTGTTTTTATACTATATATATTTACATTGTTAGAAGATAAAATACTTTTCTTTTATATTTCTTATTATATATGGAGAATATAAGTGGGCATGCAGATAACATTAAGTGCTATCCTAAATCAATAATTGAAGAAATTAATTCAGGTATGTAAAAGGCCTGTTATACTATATACATAGTCTCATTTGTTACCTATGACAAAGAAAATAAACACTGAGAGCATGTATTACCTTGCTGATTTACAATGTGCAGACTGAAATTAAAGTGATTCACAAATACAAAAGCACAACAGGAAAAGTATCCTCCTATTTTACTATGTAATAGTTATTTACCACCATCTCATTTTACACAAATGCATTTTAAATTCAAATCCTCTCTTTTAAATGCAAACCTTTCATTACCGTCTCTTGTTCTCCTTTTGTTCAGCCATTTGTTCCAACAGTTCTTGTCTATATTTTTCTTTTCTTTTCTGAATAAGTTCTCGATCTTCACCGCCTAGAAAGCGTTAAGAAAAAAATGCAATCTTAACTCTTGAGCACATATGCAACTAGAAATCTGAATTTTTAAAAACCTCCATTTGTAATTACTGGATCAAGAAGTAATCACTATACAAGCTGGAAAGTAAAATATTTATCATACGAAGTTCTCATATGATCAATAATTAATTTCATAATGAATATCTACTATGTATCAAAGACACATTAATCCTTCCTTTTCGTTGAAAACCTTCTCGGATAAGAGAATACTCTAATTCCCATCCTCATTTTTCCACTAATTGGGAATAATAACTCCACTAATATCTTCCACAAGCCCCTTAAATTTAACAAGTACATCCAAACTGAACATCTCAAAAGCAACTGCCCCTCCTTGTTTTCTGTTAATGGCCTGAAAACCAAACCCCAAAACTACATTGTAACTTTGTTCATCCTTTCTTATTCACTCCATATAAGGACCTTCTTTTCTATTCTCATATGCGATCCCATTAATCTTAGATAGGACCTCTCCACATTTCACCTGGATTGCAGCAATAATCTCCTAACCCCGTGGTCGGCAAACTGCGGCTCGCGAGCCACATGCGGCTCTTTGGCCCCTTGAGTGTGGCTCTTCCTAAGCCTTAGGAGTACCCTAATTAAGTTAATAACAATGTACCTACCTATATAGTTTTAAGTTTAAAAAATTTGGCTCTCAAAAGAAATTTCAATTGTTGTACTGTTGATATTTGGCCCTGTTGACTAATGAGTTTGCCGACCACTGTCCTAACCAGTTTCCCAAACTCCCCCTCTCCCTGCTTCAGTCCATCCAGCACACTTACGTAAGATCAATTATCTTAAAACACTAATCACACTGTGCCCTGCTAAAAAACAGCAATGGTTACCTTGATTCTACAGAAAAAAAACTGTAAGCCTCACCCTGCTATCACTTATGCAAAAGTCCAGTTGTGCAAACATTTTGGATCCACCAAGGATTATTGTTACTGCATATGTTAATGACACAAAATCACCTCTTAATCAGATATGCATGATAAGCGCACAACAAAAATCACAGGGCATCAAAAGCGCACCGAACCAGCAAGTCCTCTACTACCTTAATTATTAGCCTTCCGATTGATAATTAAGCGGACATACAGCATCTGAGTCTGTCCGTTAAGCGCAGATGTCAGCAACAGTGGAGCTCCCACAGGGGAAACATAAATTACGTTAAGGTTAATAATAGTGTTCTATAATCAAACATCCATTCTGCTTCTGATCATGATGACAAGCACAGAACTTAACCTCCTCCCATAAAACTAGGCAAAACATATGACGCTGGACACCAGGCAGCACAGGACAATAATACCTGAGGGGAGAAAAACAAATGAGGTGAGCCCTTTAAGCACCCCTGTTTCTGCCTAAATGCAAGTTCCAGGCTGCAGGTATGGGAGACAGAACAAAGCAAGCTGGAAACTGAGCTGAATTAAGCAGATAAAGATCAAAATCCAGGAAAGCTATCATGGCTGGAAGTTTAGGGCAGAGATCCAAAAAGAAGCATAAAAAGAGCTTCAGAAATCCTTCCAACTTTCTGTGCACTAGCTGTGCGTGCACAGAGTGAAAAGTCCATTAGGCTGGGCAAAGAAACTATGGAGGACACAGTAACTGAACAATTCTCAGACCTTGAAGTAAAGAGAAATTCAAGTTCTAGCCAGCTAGAGTGAAGTCCTTGGGGATCCCCTGCGTCTTTAGGGAAGAACCCAGAAAGGTCACACTGTAGTAGTACGGCTGAACTGCCCCTGGAAAAAAGGCTACTAAATGTCCCTAGCTATGCTGAAAATGAGGCCTCGCCCTAGCCGGTTTGGCTAAGTGGATAGAGCGTTGGCCTAGAGACCAAAGGGTCCCGGGTTCAATTCCAGTCAAGGGCACGTACCTCGGTTGCAGGCTCCTTCCCCTCCCCGCCCCAGACCCTGGTCAGGGCTTATGGAGGAGGCAACCAATTGATGTGTTTCACATAGATACTTCTCTCTTTCCCACTCTCTTCCACTCTCTCTAAAAATCAATAGAAAAATATTCTCGGGTGAGGATTAAAAAAATTAAATTAAAATAAGGCCTCAAAAAGATGGTCCTTAAGTAACAGAAAAACATGACTATGGTAGGCAAAATTCTAAGACAGATCCTATGTTCCCTGCCTTCAGGTGATGACTCCCTGTATAAACCACTCTCCTTTAGTGGGGACACGACTTCCTTTTACCCAATAATATGTAGCAAAAGTGAAAGAAATTGGCAGGTGTAATTAAAGTAGCAAATCCTCCTATATAATAAAGAGCTAATATGCAAATGGCCATCATGCCCTCACACCATCATGCCATAATGGCTCAGACACTCAACAATGGGGAGAGAGGAATGAGGACCAGCCAGGCACAAATGAGCTCGCGAGAGAGGAATGGGGACCAGCCAGGCTGTGGCCCGGGAGAGGGACAAGCAGCCCGCCCCGCGGTCCCAGGCGCCTGCGGCTGTGGCCCAGGCGAAACCACACGCCCACAGTTCCCTGTGGCTGCAGCCTTCCTGGGCTAAGCCAGCCCGGGCCGTGGGTGCCTGCGGCCGGCCAGAAGGAGGGAAGGAAACCCAGGTCCCGGGTGCCTGCGACCAGCCGGAGGAGGGAATCCTGGGTCCCAGGTGCAGGGCGAGGCAGAAGCAGTTAGGGGGGATCAGGCCAGCAGGGGAGCAATTAAGGGCAATCAGGCCGGTAGGTGAGCAGTTAGGAGTGATCAGGCAGGCAGGCAGAGGGGGTAGGAGCCAGCAGTCCTGGATTTCAAGAGGCAGTTGGACATCCCCCAAGGGGTCCCACATTGGAGAGGGTGCAGGCCGGGCTGGAGACCCCCACCCCCAGCCCTGTGCGTGAATTTCGGGCACCGGGCCTCTAGTCAATTCTGAATTTATCAAAAGGGAGATTTATCTTGGGTGGGCCAGAGCTAATCAGGTAAAATCCCTCCCTAGGTTTAGAAAGCTCCGTGCTTGCATGATAAAGTGAGCAGCCAGGGTGAGGAAGGAAGCCCATGTTGCAAGAAACAGTGGAAGTCGCTAGGAACTGTGGGTGATCTCCAGCTGACATCCAGTAGGAAGCCAGGCCCCTTAGTGATACAGCCACAAGGAAATTAACTCTGCCAGCATTCCAATTGGGCTTGGAACCTGGCTGAAATCTGGATTTTAGCCTTGTAAGAGCCTGAGCAGAGGACCCAACTAAATTTCTAACACACAGAAACTGCAAGATAATGTGGCATGTTTTGGGCCACTAAATTTATGCTAATCGGTGATGTAGCAACAGAAAATTAATAGTGACCCATAACCATTAGAAAAGTTAGTCAACACAAAAAAGCAAATAAACAAAGATGATGGAACAATAAATAAGGAAGTTAAAATAGCTCCCATAACTAAGTATTTAAGTGAAAACAGTCACACTATGAGGAGGAAATGGAAGATATTATAAAGAACTAAATGAAGAGTTCTATTTCTATTTAGAAAGTAAAAGGCCACACATTGCTCAGACCCCACAATGCGAAAAGCTCAATCATCTACAAACTCAGAAATTTTAAAAAGCCCATCCGAGAGCTGTTGTTACAAGCAGTTAAACTGAATTTCCAAGGGTATAAAAACCAGTCCTGACACGGAACAATCCAAGTGATTTACATTTACCAGAATATGGAGAAATAGGAGGCGGCCTTACAAACAGGTAAGAAAAAAAATAGCTGAACTACTAATGACTTCTTAAAGGCGCTGTGTGGGCTGCCAGACAATGTAGATTCCTGGAAGCCCAGTCAGAAGAGGACTCTGCACCCAGCACTCCTCTCCCGCAGAATGATCACAAGAGAGACTGGACGTGGGGCAACACAGGAGATCTGAAGACACCCTTCCAAATAAAAATAAATAAATAAAATAAAAAACACAAACCAACCACTGCATGCTCCAGACTCTTCGCAATCTACGGGTGGAAGGGCAGAAAACCTGCTCAGGCCCAGCATTCTGCACATACAAAACGAAGACCGGCTGCAGTGAGGGGAAGGGCAGAAAATTCTCATGCAAGACCCTCCAAGACATCAAGGAGAGTCTGGCTGGCTACCACTGTGGGGAGGGCAAACAACTCATTTCTGAGAATCACACGCATGGGGACAACCTTCCACCGAGGAACAAGCCACAGGAGTCTAAGCTGGGAAAGGAGAGGAGTACGGAGGGAGACAGCGTCTGTCAAGGGCATTAAGGCCTGAAAACTGATGAAGGGGAAGGAACACAGAAAATCCCTTCAGCCGCCAGGCCTCACACACAGAGTAAGGCAGTCAGGTAAGAATTGAAGGATGTGTAAGACATGAACATTACTATAAACCACTACTCTCAACAAACACACATTGCACATTCTTTCAAGAACACACTAAACATGCACCAAGGTCGACTATATCCTGAGCCATTAAAAAATGTATTACTATACAATTTGTCTAATTTCAAATTTGAATTTATACAAATTATTTTCTCAGACCACAGAGGAATTAAACAAGCAGTCAATAACAAAAAGACAGCAGGAAAACCCCCAAATATTTGCAAATGTAAAAACATACTTCTAAATAACCCATGATTCTGTTGTAAACCCCACAATATATTATTTTTGCTCTAAGCAGTCAATTGCCTTATTTTTAAAATAAAACAAAGGGCTCTGAATGAAGTCACTGGGGCAAAATTGCAGGAAGACAAATTTCAATTCAATGGAAATGAGAATATTATAACAATCAGAGCCACCTAAAGATGGAATGTGCTGCCTTGGAAGACAGTAAATTCCCTGTGGGTATATACACATATAAGCTGGAAATATACACTGAGTGGCCAGATTATTACGACCACCTGACATTTATAGGCAAATTAGCTATAATTTCGTGCTGAAGTTGCTAGAGGGCCAGACCATTATAAATAGGGAAGCAGGTTTTTTACCATGACAGAAGTGATTTTTTTCCTGAAGATATAGGTAAACAATGCGATTTAACAGCCTTTGAACGTGGGATATATTTGAACGTGAGTGGCCAGATTATTATGACCACCTGACATTTGTAGGCAAATTAGCTGTC